CACTAACGTTTGCCTGTCCAGCAAGTATTTTAATGAATGACTATGGATGTTGTGATAAAATCTCGGGCTCACAAAGCATAAGGTAGGCGGGTTTGAACAATGGCAGGTATAGGTTTAACATCTGTTTAAGATCAGAGAACATAAGTACACAGAACATAATACTTTCAAATAATATCTTGCATATCCATCCCAGGATGTTACACGGGACACCAAAGCTGTTTAAGACAGTCTCCCACCACTAGTCTCTGAAGGGAAGCTGCCCTGAAGACTGAGTTTTGAACTTTTAAGAATGCTTTTGCTTATTTATGTGTTCACGTATAATGTGTGGCTTTGTCTGTAGGTTCATGTGTGTCCCAACATGCTTGTGGAGGTCAGAGGCTGACCTGTAGGCATTGGTTGTTTCTCTCTGTTCTTTGTGGAGGCTAAAGGATCAATTCAGGTTGTGGTGCCTTTGCCTGTTGAGAAGAGAGCATTCGCTACAGGTTGGTTTGCTACTGAATATTGAGGAACAGTGTATTCCCCAAGCATGTTTGCCCCTACACAGGTACACAGCCCATGTGATCTTACAGTGTGACACCCTTTGGAGGTGCAGGTGCATGTCTTTGTCAGGTGGGGTTTGTGAGATTGCTAATAATATTGTGTGACTTTTGATCCTTTGTCCTAAAAATGGTAACTTCTGCCTGGCTGTGTCTTGGGACACACGCCTTTGGAATCTTGCCTGTACATCTGACATGCTTTAGTCCTTGCACTCAGGAGAATGAGAAGGAAGTTCTGGGAGTCGGGGGCCAGTTCTGGGGCATGTAGTGAGGACCCCTTCTCAGGAAAACAACAAAAGGACAAAGGAGATCAGGATATATATACATATATATATACATATATATATATATGTGTGTGTGTGTACATATATATACACACACAAATGGTTTTTAACATGTAGATTTTTTATGAAAATGTTTAAATATATGGAAGAAAATAATAAAACAATCATCTAACTACCTTCCCTCAGACCAGAACCATCCCATACTCGGAACCCCCATGTTCTTCCACAGATACGTACCCATACTCCAAGACAGGGACTCTGACTTCTGTGTAAGACATTTCTTTGCTTTCGTTTTTAGCTTTTCTTTACTTATGTTATACTCTCAAACAACCTGGTATTTATTTTGCCCTTTTGGGATGTGTGCAGAGGAATGATACTATGGAAGACCGTCTTCTATGCCTTGCTTTTCCCCATCCTTGTTAATGCTGATGATGGATCCATCAGCTCTTCCGGTTCGTATGTTATTCGATGTAAAAAATCTGTGAACATTTTATTGTACTGCTTTGATATTCGGGTTGTTTCCCGTGTTTTGCCATGCTGTTTTTATCCATGGTGTTCTTGGACAGTTTCTGTATGGATGTGAGCATGGCTGCATGAGTCTGTGGTTATGTGGATAAGGAACGGCTAGGTAACTTCAGAGAACTCACACATGTTGACATGTAATGTAAACACTCTGACTTCCTTTAACCCTTCTCTCTCTTACCACGTTCCATGTGCTTGGGGTAAACTTCTCAGCTGCATTTACCCACCCACTAAGCAGCAGTTGTTATCCTCTGAGCTGGCCAGTTTGATGTTAACTTGACACGGGCTTGCATTGTCTGAAAGGAGGGAACCTTAATTGAGAAAATGCCTCAGAGGATTCTGCTGTGGGTCATTTTCCTAATTAGTGACTGATGGAGAGGGCCTAGCCCACTGTGGGTGATGTTGTCCCTGGGCTGGCTGTAAGAAAGTGGTCCTGGGTTCTGTGAGAGAGCAGGCTGAGCAAGCCATGGGGAACAAGTCAGAAAGCTGCACCCTCCGTGGCCTCTGCCATCAGCTCTGTCTTCAGGTTCATCCCCGGCCTGAGTTCTTGTCCTGATTTCCTTTGATGATGAACACTGATGTATAAGTGTATGCTTTTTGGGTCACAGTCTTTCATCTCAAGAACAGTGACTATGGCTAAGACATCATCACTGATATTTCCTGTTGTAAGGAGGCCCCTTGCTCATTCCAGTTGCTTGGCAGCTCAGACCCAAAATAATCACACAGAAACTGTATTACTTAAAACACTGCTTGGCCCATTAGTTCTAGCTTCTTATTTGCTAACTCTTACATCTTAATTTAACCCATCCCCATTAATCTGTGCATCACCATGAGGTCGTGGCCTGCCAGCAAAATTTCAGTGCATCTGTCTCTGGTGGCAGCTCTATGGCTTCTCCCTAACTCCGCCTCCTTTTCTCCCAGCATTCAGTTTAGTTTTTCCCACTTATCTACCCTATAAGGACCATCCAGTTTCTTTATTAACCAATGGTATTCACAGCACATAGAGGGGAATCCCACATCAATTTCCCTTTTCTTTACAACCAGAATTATGATTATAATTTTCTTTACAATCTGAATTTTTATTAATTTTCATCATTAATAATTCACTTCAATGGACTTTCTTTGGTCACCGTTGCTTTTTACTCATCATCCTTTCCCTCTGAGATAAATTCTATGGATTCAAGTTCACCTTGATTTTTTTCAGTGAAAGCAAACTACTGTATATGGATAGCAATCTTTTTATCTGAATAATGTCCTTATTTCTATACCATTTTGAATGATAGAGTTGGCCTGAGTGTAGTTTACTGATCTTTTTCATTCTCAGCACTTTGAACATGTTACACCATCACTACCTTGCTTTCATTTTATGGGTGGGTAACTTGCTTTTTGTAGGTGTACTCTTTATTGAATTTAGGGCTGCCATTCTGTCTCTGATGTCCTGTAGTTTCATTTGGATGTATCTAAGTTAGGATTTTCTTGTATTTATCGTATGATTTCAGTGTGCTTTTTACGAGGGCTCATGGCTTTCATTCTAGAAAATTGGTATGCATTGTTGTTCCATGTTGGTCTTTCTCCTTGCCACTTGTAATTCTTTATTTTACTTAGCATTTCTATGTATTTTCAATAGAAGGGGTTAAAAACCATAAATTTCTCATGTTTCACGAAAGGAAATGTTATATAATTTCATTTATTTATTACCAAATTATGCTTTTCCCAACCCTGCTGTTGCATGGAGTTAGGAGGGGCTTGAGAAAAATTTTTTATGCTTTTCCATTAAGGGGCCAGCATTAGTATTCTAAGGTTTATAGCGTTGCCTGTGAATATTGCCTATTCTTTGGTGGAGTTAGGGAACATGGAGGGAAATAGTTCTGTAAGACTTAAAACCATCACTCAGAATATTGAAAAGAAAAAAAGCTTTGTATTTTTCAACTATTACATTGTTAGGGTGAATGAGAACCTAGCCAAGATATGAGAAGAGGCAAATTACAATAATTTCATGGACTATGTGAGTGGTGTTGGACGCTACAGAATCAGCCTCCCCAAACCATAAGTTGTCATTATTTGTCAACAGCTGTCATTTTGCAGGTGTTTTCATGGATCTCATTGATTAGGAGGTGGCAAGCATATAGTATATTTGGATAAGTGGGGAAGTTAACAAGTAGAAGTTTGATCTGAAATACGAAGTTGTACCTTCTGCTCTCTTGTGAGTTTCTCCTAAAAATAAGCTGCACTCTTCCTGGAGAGAGGATGACTGTGCTTGTGTGGGCAGCTGCCACCCTCTCTCTTACAGGACAACAACACTGAGCTGAGCTCCTGGCCCACGTGCCTTCAAGGAATGGAACAACCTTCCAGAACTCAAAATTCCTGTGGGAGGTGGAAATCATGGTAGGAAAAGGGTCCAAACATACATGAGTGCTTGGTCAGGTCGCATGTGCCATCCTGATGTTTAATGCACCTCGTCACCACACAGTTCGTGCGCCGTTCACTGCTGAGGTGCGTACATCCTGCAAGGTTGAACTGTAGATGTGACCAAGTCTGGGTGGTGCAGATCCCAGCAACCGTGTGCTGTTTTCAGTTTGTATCTGTATCAGCCTGTTTCCTTTTTGCTAATGATACACCACAGCAGAAGAGGCATTATAAAAATCTAAAAGGTTTATATGGATCGTGGTTCTGAAGGTGAAAGGTCAAAGGGCTCCATCTAGCCATGGTGTCTTTGCGGCAGAACACCAAGGCCAGCAGATTATCGCATACCAAGAGACAGGGAGTACAGGTGTGTGTGTCCATATATACCAATGTGTGCATTGTCTTCACAGATCATACTCCTTTAGTAAGATGGACACACATACATACACATGTAGACACACACACACATAGATACACACAGTCTCTTGTCGTGACTGTCTGATCTTTTCCCATATGCACACATGTACACACACATACACGCATGTACACACACATACACATATACACACATATAGACACACATGTAGACACATGTCTCTTGTGACTGTCTGATCTCTTTCACACATACACACATACACACACGTAGACACACACAGATATGGACACACACACACACACGTCTCTTGTCATGACTGTCTGATCTTTTTCACACATACATGCACGTACACAGACACATACACACACATAGACACACACATGCCTCTTGTCGTGACTGTCTGGTCTCTTTCACAATACACACATGTACACATACACACATGTACACACATGTACACACACAGATGTGGACACACACACACACCTCTTGTCATGACTGTCTAGTCTCTTTCCTTCTCTCTATAAAAGCCATCAGGATCAAGAATTCAGTCCCGAAGCCTTTACCCTAGTAACCTTATTCATGCCTAATGATCTCTTGATATCCTTTCCTCTAACCAGATTCAGATTAAGTTTTTATTCTCTTCATGCCTCGTGATAGAAATTAAATCTTGACACATGGAACACTGGGGCACATTAAAACCTGTAGCTGTCAGTGCCTGGCTGGCCTCTTGGGCAGGTGTGAGGCACGAGTTTCATCGATGGCATATTTAGCCAGCGCCATAGACCACGGCCCATGGAAATTCTGTTGAGAAACGCGGAAAAGGAACATTTGGTGGTTTGCTCTCAAGCATCTCAGTCTTTCATTTTTATCTCTCCGTAGCTTTGAAGCTCAGCAAAGAAGGAAAAATCCACCGAGAACAGTCTGTAAAGGTAAGTGTATTTGTTACGTGGCCTTGACAAACATTGCCTTTACCACATTGATTTTTCCTTTATTCGGAGATTTAAGCACTTGGATTAAAGATACAGCTGACAGGACAACTTCCTTAACCACCTGCTTGTCTCCCCTCACAGGCAGAAGTGCTGAGCAATAGTCAGCGGAGAGCAGGAGGAAATGGAATGATGTGCTGAGGGTGGCCAAACGCAATTGTGTGCTTGCTGACTTTTGCTTTCTTTTCAGCGCTGAAGACATTTCAATAGAGCTAGGTTTACCAAGATTAATGCTAGATGGAAGAAGAATGCACTTTTAAATATCTGGTCAATATTTAAATAAAACTAGCGGGCCAACGAAAGCATTTAAAATAAAATGCAGAGTGGCATTTCAGTTGGGTCGGATGAAATTTATCACGGAAGGCAGTCATGTGGTTGAGTGGAAGAGCTGGTTTTGCATCACGGAGGCAACCTTCCAGTTTGGTGGGGCTAATTACCTTTCCACCACTCACACTGGGTCCTAAGTGAGTTACAGGAAGTAAACTTCCAAGTTCAAAGCAATACCAAAAATACCAGTTCTGTGAAACATTACGGTTGAGTTGGTTTTTGCATGGGAAAATGTAATTGTTTCTCCTTCGCAGGTGTATTTATAAGCGTACCTCTGTACAGCAGTGTTCTTTGATTCATTGTTTAATTTCTGTTCTGCATGAAGTATTTTAATTTAGAGAATTCACTCTGAGGAATTATAGGGCTGCACTTTCATCAGGAGGCTGTGGTGGCCAGGGTGAAATATGCCATAATTTTACAATTGTTTTCATCATCAATTATGTTTTTGACAAATTTAGGTTTTTTTTCTGTCATTTTTATTATAGTAATTATGACCGTGACCACTTTGGTTAAAGTTGAAAAGCAATTTTGATTTACTTTCTATTTTAAGTTATTTTTAACTTTATGACAAATGAGTTTTTAATGTTCATTTTGAGAGTAAAGTGTAGTTTTACAAAGAAATTGGAGAGAGATCTTTTTGGAATGTTGAAAACATCCATAAAAACCTGTTTGGAGGATTTGCTTTGGGGTGGTCAAGTTCTGGTGCATGAAGCCTGGCTGCCTTGGGATTTTGATATAGTGGTGGTCGTTGTGAAGAAAATACCAGAAGATGCGGATGATCCTCATTTCCATATATCATTCATATCCCTGCAGCCTTGAGCCGTTTCCTGGAACCTGGCAGGACTCGATAGCATTGGAGTTAGTGGTGATAAGGCCGTTTCGAGGACTTTGCAGTTAGATGGTGTAGCTGTGGTGCTTGCGGTCCTTTGGAGGAGGGAGTGTTTTCACACTGTGGATGGGTTTGGCCCTACTTTGGTTACTGGACCATGAACAAAGTGTTCATTCTCTTCCCTGTCTGTGAAATGGAGATGATAAGATATACTCTACCTCATGTGGTTGGTGTGCAAGAGCCTGTCCTGGTCCATGACAAGCAGAGGCTGCTTACTGTCACTGCTGTCACTGTCCCTTCCTCCTCCTGATCCCCATTGTCATGAGCAATGGCAGCCTTAAAAATTTATTAGATATTTTGAAAAGTATATTCTTTTTATTTATCCATGTGTTTATATGTGTATTGTGCGCATCTGTGTGTGTGCGTGTGCATATGCACATAAATGTGTGTGTGTGTACATGTGTGCGGGACAGAGGGTGACATTGGGTGTCTTCCACCATGGCTTTCTGACTGTATTTTGAGACCTTCTCACTTAGTCTGGAGTATACCTATTGGATTAAGTTGGTTAGCCAGCCAGTCACAGGCATCCTCCTGTCTCTGCCTCTCTAGCAATCAGATTGCGCATGGCAGCCTTTTTGGTGTAGATGCTGGGGATCAAGCTCAGGGCCTTCTGCTTGTCCAGCATGCTCCTTATGGCTTGAGCCATCTCTCCAGCCATGGCCATTCTTTTTATAGTCTTAATGATTAATTTTTTAATTGTTTTAAGTTATGAAAGTATGTGTGTGCCTGTGTGTGAGTATGTGCACTTGAGTACAGGTGCCTGTGGAAGACAAAAGTGTCAGATCCCCCAGAAACTGGAGTTACAGGTAAGTTTTGGCTGCCTGACCTGGCCTGGTTAATGGGCCTTCGGTAAGAACAGCAATCATTGCTATGCTCTGAACAATCTCTGGTGCCTGCTTTTTTTTTTCAAAGATTTTTCAGGATGTTTTCAAAATGAGAATGTTACTTTGAATAGGTGATTAGGAATGGGTCTGTTAAGACAGCTCAGCAGATAAAGGTGCTTGCTGCCAACCCCAATGGCAGGAGTTTGATCACCATGCTTCACACGGTGCAACAGGAGAACTCACTACCATTCCTATCCCCCTGACCTCTACTTGCATCCTATACCATGGCCAAACACACACACACATACACACACACACACACACACACACACACACACACAGAGAGAGAGAGAGAGAGAGAGAGAGAGAGAGAGAGAGAGAGAATCAGTAAAATGTAATAAAAAAGAAATATAAGAAACTTTAAGAAGAAAAGAACAGGTTAAGTTTTGCGAGCGTCAGGAAGATAGACCTTTTGGCTCTGCATGGCCAATTACTAATTACAGTAGTCTTAAATTATATTCTTAGGAATTAGTGATCCACTGCTTGGTAGTTTGTTAAGCAATTTTTGAAGGAAGCCGTGGTAAGTGTAGATGAACACCCTCCCCCATTTTCTCTCTGCTCTGTACTTTTTCTCTTCAGAGCTTTCATTTCCTTTAGGGTGATGCTGTAGTGGACTCTTGCAGTCATACACACAGGGTGGCTGCAAGCTCGTTGAAGAGCATGCTTGCTCTTTGGGATTCAGATCTTTACTAAAACATTCTCCTTTGTCCCAGGTGGATATTCTGGCCTGGCCCTACCCATGAGATCACAGATAGCATTTCCCGGTAGTTAGCCTCCATGTCTGTTTTGTCTTTTCCATGCCTTATCTAACCACCAGGTGCCTTTCGTAATCTAAATATAGCCAGTTTGTTTATCTTGCTAACAATTTGAGAACCCTAACTAGTAGCTTAGACATTGGTGAGCAAGATTTCGATTAAGTGCCTGTTTGGAGATTTCATGAAGAGAGCATCCATTACCTTCTTTCACTCTGTGTAAGAGCAGAATGCTTTACAGTAGACTACTAACACAGATCTCAAAACACACTATTTTGGTGCACTCCCGATGACCCCCATTGATACAGATGCTCGGACGGCTTCTCTGAGAATGCAGGATGCTCACACACACAGTGAGAGATGGGAAGGGCACCCATCTAATGCCTAGGGTCTTGAGCTCCTTGTGGCCTAGACTTGGGAAGGGCTGCAATTTACCTCAACATCTCAGAATAAAACAATGTTGTTTGTTTTTTACTTTTCCCTGAATTTTAATTTCTCTTTTCAATACCATTTTTGGTTTTTGTGTTCCATGGAACCCCTTTTGGTTGATGTGTAAAATGTGGTTGAAAACTTCATTGTTTGGGTCTTTGACATTCTTATGGTTTCCTGAGAATACAACGGGCAGTTTTTCCCTTATGTCTTCTTTGTTGCCTACTTCTCTGTTTGGGGCAAGTCCTGGAACAAAGATCCTTAGTGACTATTCTCACAGGGACACAGAGACATCATCTTTGCTCCCCTGTTGCTACTAAGTCACATGGTTGCATGCTAGGAAGAGCCTCAACTAAACGAAGAATGCCTTCCAGTTTGGCTCTGCAGCTTGCTAGCTTTGGGCTCTGGGCAACAGTCCTACAGTCCTACCGTTCCCTGCAGTTCCCATTCCTCATCCGCAGAGTCAGTCACTTAGCAGTACGCAGGGCTGTGTGAGGATCACGTACTAATCATGCACATAGACATGTTTGGCAAATTATAAAGTATATGACTTTCTGTCACTCTCTCAAGTCAATTCAACAGATGTATTTTTAGGGATATGGTTTACCTGGGGTAAAGTTAACTATTTTGTACACTCTTAAGAACTGCGTAAGAACTGTGTATAATTAGTTCTATCAGCCTTTAAAATGTAAGTGGTATAGCATCTCTTTTTTTGTTTTGTTTTGTTTTTTGTTTTTTTGAGACATGGTTTCTCTGTAGCTTTGGAGCCTGTACTGGAACTAGCTCTTATAGACCAGGCTGACCTCAAACTCACAGAGATCTGCCTGCCTCTGCCTCCCGAGTACTGGGATTAAAGGTATGCGCCACTACCGCCTGGCCTAGAAGTATAGCATCTTATATTGTGAATTGTTCTTTGACATTTAATAAAAACAACATATCTACATTCTTTAAGTAGAATAGCATCAAGAAGCAAATGATAAAAAGCTGCAGCATCTTTCTCCTTTCTACCTATTTCCCTTTCCTCGGATCTCCCTAAATTAACCTCTTTCTATTCTGATTCTATTGCTATTCCCTTTTCTGTTTCTAATAAAATATCTATATCACCTTTTCCTTATATGTGAGTTCTAACACTAGCTTTCTGATGTTTCCCATTCTGGCTACTTCCATTTCCCACAGCCTTCTAATACAGTCATATCCCAAATTTTGCTTAAATCTGTAGGTAATTATTGCATCATTGTAATGATGTTGCTTTTCCACAGTGAGCCAGGAGGTATAGGCTAGTTGGTTATTTCTTGTAATATGTAAATTCTAATATAGTTTATAATTAATGCATGGTTTCAAAAATTATTTTCCTAAGTATCCTATGAAGAAGGTAGCTGTAGATGGGCCAGGAAATGTTTCCATTTTATTGATATGGAAAGTAAGACTTAAGACAAGTAGTTTGTCCAGAGCACAACTAGGGTCAGCTCTCTGAAGGATTAATTGTCCCAATCAAGACACTCGTGATGGATGCTGTCACTTCCTTTCATCGCTATGCTAATCAGCAGCACTAAGAGGGAGAGCAAGAGCGTGCTTGTGTGGCACTCTCAAGGCTGTAGCCAGATCACTAGCACAGAGTGGGGGGTGTGCCCCACAGGTCTGTGTTCTGTCCTTCCTCTATCA